TTCGTAAGTTTTGTCGTAAATATGTATCGATGTTTCTAATAATTTTTTCGTCTAGTTTGTAGCTAATGTGTAATTGGTTTCTGTAGAATAATTTCATTCTGTTTGTTAATTATTTCCAAGATTAGATTAATTTGTTTATTAATTATGTGATTATTGTTAATTAATGTTTATGTTTTAGATGTGTTATAAAATACTGTGTATTTAGAGGATGTCATATAAATGTATGTGCGTGTGTGTGTTATAATACAGTTTTTCATGAATGTTATACTTATGGGAGAAAAGTGATCAATATCAGAGACATGCCGTATGTAAATATATGCATTATAATAGTAGTGGCAATATTAGCCTTTTCCCTACAAGGAAAAATTTGGCATTAACTGACCGAGCGGCCAGTACTCATTTCGCTTGAATTTTATAAAATCTTTCTCTTAAAACAATTTTTTCAGGAAAATAGGTTTATCAAGTCCAGTAGCTGTTATCGTTCTTTCCAATATTGATGGACGTTTCCTTCCTAAACTTTTATTTGAAGTAGTGTGGAATGTCAACATTTTGATTAATTTATTATTTTATCTTCGCGCTATGTGAGTTCTCAATTTTAGTTGTTGCTGTCTTTGGTAGTCACCATGTGGCTTCTGTTATTTGGTACAGTTCTTTGTTTGTGATTCTGTAGCGCCAATCCACAATATTCAAAGAAGGATGATCTTTGTCAGCACCCACAGGCTTTACTCGCTCAAAATCTTTTTAAGCTTTGATCTTAGGAAGCGGTTGTATACAGCTGACAGTTAACATATTTCTGAACGGGTTTGACGCGATGCATGAGATCCATATGAATGTCTTGATCTGATGAGGCTATTTAAGAATATGACTCGAGTTTTCAGATTGATGATTTGGTTTTGTAGCAACTTGTGGTATTGGGTGAAACTACACAGCCTATTCTGTGTTCGATTTCCTTTCCTCCTATACTTAACTTATTGTAGCTGTTCCATACGCCGAGGTATCTGAAGTGTTTAGAATTTACTAATTCCACATCCTGTATATTTATCATCGATTCAGGGTAGATGTTATCACTGCTTTTCATTCCAATTCCAGATCATAGTTTCTGTTTTGGAAATGTTTATCCGTTTCTTGTTATTGCAATACACTTGTTCATCCTACCTTCTATTTTTCGTGTCTTTCTTTCTGGCCCTTGACAGGTCACAACATAAATGCACAGGGCATCTAGGAAAGGATTAAATAATCAGGGGCTTTCAATTTATCCCTGTCGTACTCCTGATGAGATCTGAAGTGTTTCCGTATTGGGGTCCTCTCCAGATATGTAAGTTTTTGTAGATCAATACAGTTCCTCTTAAACCGCTGCATTCAGTGGATTCAATGCTTGGAAGGCGTTTTCTAATGGATGAAACGAGGAACTCTCTATTGATGCGGTCATATTCTGCTGTGAGGTCAACAAATCAGGTATACAGTTTCCTATTAGAGAGGTAAGCAATTTCTTAGAGTTGTTTGATAATATATATGTCATCATTTTATCCGTTTCCAGAACAAAAAACAAACTGAGACGTGAGGAGTTGACTTACATAAAAACGATGAGAACCTTGTTAATATAATGTTCATTAATACTTTCACCATAATGGATCCAATTGCGATCTGTATGCGTGAAGGACTTGAGGGCTACATTTTTATTTCCATAATGTATTAATGAGTGATAAGCCCCACTTTGTTTTTGGCCGGGGGGGTATTTCTGATTCCAGACTTCTTTTATAAAATAGAGGAACTTGTTATTGAATTCTGGGAGAAAGTAAACTATTTTCAAATGTTCAGTTTGAATGTCAAGTGATGCTTTATTATTCGTTATTTTTTTTTTTAAATAGCTTTCTTAATTTCCTCATCAGTAGTTTCACCATTATTTATATTTGGGAACGGACTTTGTAATACTTAGATGATTATTGATATATGTTCTATTTCTGCGGACATCTTACATTCATTCTGGTCAGGGTTGAAGTGTAATTCAAAAGTGCCTTTTTAGACCAAGATATCTTTGTGGGGCTTTGATCATGTGATATCATGATTTTTCGTTTTTCTCAACATTTGAACAGATTGTCTATGATATTTGGCTTCATTTCCAGTTTTGCGCAGATACTGGGTTTTTAAAGAATTAACTATTTTTTATTTTCTTTGCTAATTGTAGGCATAGAATGGCGCTTGTTTCATGATAAAACGCACTTCTCAGTCTATGTGAGTGAAAGATAACTCCACCATTTATGTTTCTATATATTCATTAATACTATTTTTTATTATTTTTATTATTTTTTTATTATTTTTATTTCAAGTTATTGCTTTCAAATTTCCATTTTAAATAATTTATTCCGTACAGAGTTTTTTTAGCACAATGTATCAATTGAAAATGTATCAACTGAAACAATGTATCAATTAAAAAAAAGGCAAATTAAATTTAGCCAGACCTCAAGTCAGCGAAAATCAAAGTATCGACTGGAGGGTTGGGGTGAGGAGTGTGACTGGAAATGTTGAGTGTTGAGGCAATATGATATCAGTCAGCAGCCACAATTACTGACCCAAACACGTACAATAATTAAACTAAAAATTCACAGACAGAAAGATACATAAACATACTAACGCATAGACATATATGCAAACACAGACTCGAGATTTATTAAACATCTTATTTAAAAAAAACAAAACATATCTGACTAGAGATTATTAATAATTATATATTTTAATTAGAGTAAAGGAATCATTTTAGCATCTCAGTATATTTTGTTAAAGATTGTAATGAGCGCGATAAACATTAATGACCTAGAGTCATATATATATATATATATATATATATTATCCCGTGACCCGCAGTAGAAGTGGTGTTTCTTGGGCAAGAGAGCCTGGCGGAGCCCTCTCTAGGCCGGTTTTGTAACCAGTTTTTTCTTCTAACCTGCTATTTACCCATAGTTGGGGTTGAAGAAGAAGAGGATTTATACTTTTCCCAAGGGTATTAGCACTTAAGTGGATCCGAGTGTAATGCAAACTCGGCTCTCCAATTCCTCAATCCCATCCGCTATCCATTAATCTACCGCACACACACACACACACACACACACACACATATATATATATATATATATATATATATATATATATATATATATAATGGAGTGAAATAAGATGGGAAATGATTGACTATTTAACAGTTTCCCTTCTGCACATTTTTTCTCATCCTCGCACTTAACAGCTTGATGTAGCAAAAGCAAAAGTGCGCCTACTGATAAATTGCTGTAAATAACAATTTTTTATTTTTAGATTCGATCTTTGATTGCTTGGTTTTCGCACTGATCAATTTAATTATTCATATAATTTTATAATCTTTAATTAATATTTGATGATATCAGATTACTTCCCGCACATTTAAATATCTGAACGCATTATGTCTAAGAAATGTAGATATATATGTGTGTGTGTGCGTGTGCGTGTGTGTGTGCGCGCACGCGCGTGTGTGTATAATAAAAAAAAGATTACTTAACTTTTAAATATCAATATTTTTAATTAACTTTCTATTCTTAATATTATTTTAATATTCAATATTGAGCACTATATATAAAAATATCTGCTGTTTCTTAAATCGTATATATATATATATATATATATATATATATATATATATATATATATATATATATACATGCAGGGATTGCGCGGCTAATGTGTACATTAAAAGTTACGCACTAATCTAAACGCATTAATCGAATATAATAACTTATTGGTAATTATATAATTTGTACGTCAAATTTTAGTCTACAATTAATTTCTAATTTGCGTACATTTTAATTAAAATATAGGTACATATTTTCAATTTTTGCAAAATTTCCAAACATATCATAATCATTTAGTGTTTTAAACTGAAAATTTTATTGATAATCTTTCCATAGTAAATGCATCTTTTATATTTCGATATTTCTTAATAAATGTAAATTTCGGTATCTAATTAAATCGTTCCATATTTTTTTAAACAACAAAAATCAGAAATTCCCTTTAAAGACTTTCAAGATAAACATAAAAAAATCAAAATATTAAATTTTTTTAATAGAGACAAACATTCAAATAAAATTTTAATTATCGGTTTCCGTTTATATTATAAAATTTATCTAGGGTGTTCCAATAACTTGGACGGATTTTAAATGTGAATTAAGTATAAGCCTCTAAAAGATTTTTTTCTTTTTCTTTCAGATTTAACAACTTAAGTTTTTGGCAATTTCACTCATGAAAAGATCAACAATCAAACAACAGTCATTGAAGCCTGTTATGAACGTTCAAACACAGAACTCAACATGAACAGTTGGGAAATGTTTGCTTCTTGCTAGGCTTTGATTATGCCACTACACCGTGGTGGCAATGATACGAGAGAGAGAGAGACACCTGAGAGATGGAATGACGCTCTATAGTGGGAGAAGGTTTAACTTATGCATGTCGTAGATCTTTCTCCCATTAAAAATTTATGTAAACATTATGGGACGATTTCTGAATGGTTCAGTAGTATCGATCTGGAACTTTTGCAATGCTCCGTCAGTCGGTGCAAGAGACGTAAAATAATGCATCGTATGATTGTATTTGTTAACGTCTTAGAAGAATATTCAGTATATTAATATGGCGTTTGAGTATTGTTGATACACCCCTTATTATGTTAATTTTTTAAGCGTTGCTTAGATGTGGCACAAGGCCGAAAGTATGGGGAACCCGGAGGGAATCGATCTCACCATTCAGTCGTAATTAATCTAGTCAAACGTGCTTACTAATCATAACACCACGTTGAAGTGACCAAAGGGATCATAGCTTAGATGTGGCACAAAGCCGAAAACATGGAACACCCAGCGAAGATCGAACTCACTATTCAGTCGTAATTGATCTAGCGAGACTAGCTTGCTAACCATTACACCACGTCAAAGTGCCCAGATAGTCCCCTTATTATGAAACCTATGGTTAGTTAGTTAGTTAGTTAGTTAGTTAGATAGATAGATAGATAGATAGATAGATAGATAGATAGATAGATAGATAGATATGAACATACCTAGATAGATAGATAGATAGATAGATATTAAATATCCACGTATACTATTATTCATTATTAATCACTGACGAAGGTTGTAGGAGCAATCAAAAAACGTTATTGTGCTTCCACATATCAACTAAATAAAAAAAACATAAAAAATATGCAAAAAATATTTTGTTCTCCTATTCATGTGTGTGTGTGTGTGTGTGTGTGTGTGTGTGTGTGTGTGTGTGTGTAAATTATTCAGAAGAAAATACATCACAAATTTCCATGGCGGAGCATCGACAACATCGGGTTGAACATGGAAAATGCACAGTTAAAAAAAAAAAAGAAAAGAAAAAAAAAAGGAGTTAATAAATAAAATTTAAATAAAAAAAAATGAATTAAAATTAAGTAAATTATCGTATAAATAAGACAAGGCTGACTTATGAAAAAAAATTGGACAAAAATACTACTTAAATTTTGTGAACTTTTAAATTAAGAACGTTACTGAAGGACTTGTTGAAAGTGTATGCTTTATTGCCTTATGTCATAAGACAGTAAGTATAAGAATTATTCTTATATTTATATTTACAATTTTTGTGTGTGCAAAAGTTGTTGGACGAGTGACTGAAAACACAATAAAAAATAACAAAATGAACCGCCATTTTTAAATAAAAAAAAAAAGTAAACTTATGCACACACAATCAAAAGTTATTGAATTGGTTTATGTATTGTTAGTAGTTAAACTTATCATGAATAAGGGGGAAAGAGCTACGACATGTTTACCAACATGAACAACATGAACATAAAACCAAATATGGCGGCAAAACGTAATATAATGTGTCTACAGAACCTACAACTTCATGTAGATCCATTTTTTTTTATATGTTTGATACATTCATTGACTCCAGGATGTATCAATTTACCAAACTTCTTCATTCGTTTAAAACGGTCCACCGATGTTGCATGAAATAAAGCCTGTTTACTTACTAGTTGATCCGACGGCTACCATGCCGACAGCAGTCAGCGTAATGCCGTAGGAGGTGTCCTTGGAGAACATTTCCAGCCAGATGTCACAGATGGTGATGAGGAGAAGAATGGAAATCGCCACAATGTAGCCAAACGTGATTCTCAATTGCAGACTGAATGTTTCGATAAGAGCGTTGGTAGCAACAACACTGAAGAAAGCCACAACAATGTAAGTCAGGCTCATGTCAAACTCGATTGTGGTCCCCGGAAATCTGGCCTACCAAAAGATAAAATATAATTGAAGAATTCTCCATTAAAAATTCTTAGTGAGTCAGATATTTTTTTTAAAATAATATAAAGGATGCAGTTTAACTTGATTATAAGTTAACGATATTTGAACAGCAAACGAGTGATTTAATAAATACAGTGTAACCCGGATATAAGAGACCCGGATATAAGAGAGACCCGGATATAAGAGAGACCCGGATATAAGAGAGATTTTTATCTGGTCCCAAATTAGAGCCTGTGTTAATGTATATAAAATAGACCAAACCCGGATATAAGAGAAACCCGGATATAAGAGACTTCTTCTCCGGTCCCGCCAACTCTCTTATATCCGGGTTACACTGTATTTGAAACTTTTTATTATTGCACGAATCTTTTCCACTACTTATTTTAAAAAAATCTTTATTGTTTTTGTCACAGCGAGTTAATCAATGTATTCTTTGACATTTCTTGTGTCTTTTGAATTTCTGAAATGACCTACTGCCATTAGTGTCCATTATACCAACTAATATCCCCATCTTTGTAGAATTTATCACAACGATTTGAGCTATGATCTTCGCTCTTTGCAGAATTTCATTTTTACAATAATAAATAAAGGTACATTTTTTATCACGTTTATTCTTCTTATAAAGTATACTGGAAAGAGAGAAAACAGCTAGTGGGCATGAGAAACCTATTTCCCTGAAAAAACTGTTTTAAGAGAAAGATTTTCTAAATTTAAATTGAAATATATAATATATATATATATATATATATATATATATATATATATAAGTCAACATAAAGTCAACACTTAGAGGCGACAGTCTGTTTCATGCTAGATGCAATCGTCAGGCCTGACGTTTGCATCTAGCATGAAACAGACTGTCGGCTCTAAGTGTTGACTTCATATTGTTTTCTTATATATTATACGCTCTATCTCTGATATTGAGCACTTTATCCCATAAATATAGCACATCTTAAGACTATATATATATATACACAGGATGCCATGGGCAAATTGCCGTCATTTTATATTTTTTATTTCGCGCACGCGTGTTGTTTGTTATTGATGTCGTCAACCGACTGCGCAGTATAGTAGGTCAGTTGGACACCATCTGTGAGAAAAAGAGTACCATCACGCAATTCACTCTGCCAGAAATTTGGAAACGACATGCTGTATTGTATTGCTGTATTGGAGCTTCCGGCACGAATGCCGGAAGCTCCAATAAGAACATTTCAGTGTGTTTGTGTGTCAATCTGAAGACAATGCAGAGGATTCGGAATAAGTTGGATGATATATCCAGTCAACATCATGGTGTTTTGAATGATCGCTAGTGATGCCGGCGTTATGCATCCATTCATCTTCCCACAGGGCCTCAGACTATAACACGGAGGCCTACACCAATTGCCTTGAGGAGGTAGTGCTGCTCTGGGTCAAGAGTGTGGCCGCTGAAAGAAACTATGTCTGGTAACAGGACTGTGTCCCATTCCACACAAACAGGAGAACCCAGGCATGGCTGTCAGACATTTTCTGCGACTACATCGCCCCTTACATCTGGCCACTTAACTCCCCAAACTGCAACCCCCTTGATTATTATTTGTGGGGTGCAGTTGAGCGAGTACCAATAAAATTCCTTGTAACACCAAAGATGAACTGAAGGCAAAGATTAAGGCAGCATTCACCAACTTAAACAAGGAGAGCGTCCTGAAGAGTTACAAATCTCGAAGTCGTCTGGTGGCCGCGGTTGTAGCCGATGGCAATTTTATTGAATAAAGTTACTCTTTAGTATTTCAAGATATTGTGTAATTTTGGTAAATATGTCTGTTAAAATGAGATGTGAGTGTTATTTTCATTTTTACGTAATTTAGACAACAATTTATCCATTGTACCCTATATATATATATATATATATATATATATATATATATATATATATATGAAGAAATATAGTTAGAGCGCATGTATAAGTCTGACGATTGCCTCTAACATGAAACAGCCTGTCGCCTCTGAGTGTTGACTTCAATGTTCACTTATATATATATATATATATAGAGAGAGAGAGAGAGAGAGAATATATACATACTATACATATAGTACAATCTACAAAGAGACACTCAATCTGATTTGCCCACTAATATGCAGTCTTGTAAATGTGGTGTGTGTCAGCGCATAATGTTGTCGAGGGCAGGTTATATAAAACCTATAAAGATCATCATATAACGCCAGTAGTAAGTCAACTATGCCAACTTACATCATCGTCCTGCCAACAATATCTGGTCATCTAGACTGAAAAGGCACATGGTAGTACACAAGAGAGTCGTTGGCCATGCAAATCCAATCAACCCAATCAAGGATATAGCATTTATCTGTCATATCTGCCTGATACCTATGATATCGTATGCTCATCTCAAGTGTTATCTTAGAAGCCAGGGATGCCGAAACGAGATGGAAGACATTACAATTGATGCTAAAAGTGAGAAGTCACTTCATCTGAGTTATATGCGACAATCACCATATATAGGTAGCTAGCATTCATTTAAACAAGGTCTTTTTAAATGTTTTATTGTATTTTCCCAGTTTCAAATAAGTTGTACACCCAAATTGAAAATGTGGATAACCTGTCCATGTTTTATATCTTTAGTAATTTCAACCGTCTTATTCAGTATCAAAAACGTAATACTGTCATCGTGTTTGTTAATTACAACCTAGCATTCTGGAACGCTGCATTTCAAATTCAAATATACGTATATCGTATAAGTACAGTTAAGTGAAGAACAGTTTCATAAAGCTTGACAACACTGGAAATTGATTTTATCAAATATTTTATACGTATTATTTTTATTTTACAAGCATATTAAATATTTTACCCATACTTTAAAATGCGGTCTGGCTCAGTTCCACACATGACGTCACTAATATGAGACATGTATATTTGAATTTGAAATGTTCCAAAAATATGCCACGATGTAGCCAACACACTTTTGACCATACTGACAACATTTAGTATTTGATAATAATTGAGGCGGTCGTAAATACTTCAACAAATGTATAAAAGAAGCTTGAACTTTGGACAGTTTATCCACAATTTTAATTTGAATGTAGGCTTACGGGCATATCACGTTGAAACACCGGTTCCCGTACGATAATCGAAGTTAAGCAACGTTGATCCTGGTCATTATTTAGATGGATGACCGCTTGGAAATACCGGGTGCTGTAAGCTTAGATATGCAGGTGATGTAATGGATAATGGCTCGGAATTGTTAATCAGAGAGCCGAGTTCCAATTTCAGTCGAATTCGTTATATTCACTTACACCCAAATACCCTTGAGAAAGATATGACTCCACCACTTCTCCCCCCCACCAGCTATGGGTTAATTAGTAAGACTTGTATCACTAAATCGTTATTATCTCCCTGCTAAAAATTTTTTGTAATCTAAAAATGCTGTCTTCATATGACCTGCAATGGCTTGATAAGCTGTAGAAAATGAACGAATCAACCAGTCAATTTGAATGTAGAACAACGTTTTCGAAAATTGGAAAACTTGTCGGTTGAATTTCAAATAAGTTGCTCAATTCACCAGAACGCTGGTTTCATTTTAGCCCGCCATTTCGCCAGTACGGTCCGAATATTAATCAGTTTTTTGTTTTACTGTATAAATTAGACATTTGAAATTCGATACGCGGACTAAAGTAATTAATATAAAATTTAATTTTAATTTTTTAAAAGAATATGTTAGAACAGAAGTTTTTATTATGACTTTAATAAATAATATAGTAAATTATTTAAAAAATATCTAAAACGTCACAACTAGGTTGCATTTATAATGTCTTACTCTTTCCTTTTGCGTTAGGAAGTTCCTTTATGTCTGTGGGGTGCTATTTTTCACGTTATCGCCCCATGCGAGTGAGTAAAGCCAACAAGACACAAAGGGTTACTGGGGATAGAAGAATTAGAAACTGAAACATTAATAATGAGCGGAAAGAGGAAAGAGTAATTAGGAGGACAGTAGATAGCGATTGACATTGCAGTTACATTTTTGGAGATTAATGTTGGCTGGAAAGCATGAACCCAGAAGGAAGTTCCACAAGTGAGAAGTACGAGAAAAGAAACTATTGGCATAGAACTTACGGCTACATCTAACCAGCTCAATAGTAAATTAATGAGATCTCGAAGCCAGTTTAGTACTTCGCTTAAATTCAAAAAGTCTAGGAATTTGACCGTTGTCGGATGCATGTCCAATGCAAATTGGTATTTGTATATTCACTGATACATGTAGCGTGTTAATTTACATCAGATGAATGTGTGTAGCTGTAATGTACTATTTGACATTAGGCATATTTTTTTTAATCATTTCACCCCCAAGTAAGGTGATAATGCCACTAATACACAGGGGGTTACCGGAGGAGAAAAGGGATAAGGAGAATTTAGGTGAAGGAACCAGAAAAACAATCCTAAGCAGGAAACAAGGGATAAACATCTATTCCTGTTCAAAAGACGGTGAAGAAGAAGTATGAACTGGGCGATAGGCGGATATATCTACTCCTATATATAACGCGCTCTTTTGATCAGAATATTCCCTTATGCCTCTAGCATTGCTATTTGGTATCAATCTATTGACCCATCTCTGTCGCCGTGCCATTTGATATGAGGTAAATTCCTTATGCCTATAGGAGACTGTTTAGTTCCAGACTATTCCCTGAATGTTTTGTAGGAGTATTATCTGGAACCCTGCTACTTACTAATATCTTTAACTCTAATGTACTATTTAACATGACGTAGTTAACTGATGCATGTAAGGTTCTATTCAGCATTACACTATTCCATGATATTCTTCTTCTGTGCCGTATCTCTCTAGGACGTGGACGATAATGGCTCTCCACATTTTCCTGTCCTTTGTAGCTCTTAGTAAATTTTGTCTTTTTACTATATCTCCTAATCCCAGTTCTACCAACTATTTGCCCAAGCTCATTAAGTAGGTTATACGCTGCTTTCCTCTGTCCCTTTTACCTCGCCCCGTGAGTGTTAAATTCTCCAAACCTTCATTATCTACCCTAGAAGCTTCAAATATCACATTCCAACATTAATTTAGCACAGGGCCGAAAATATAGAGCACCCAGTGAGAATCGAGCTTATTACTAAGCATTTATTGTTATATATAACAGTTAAGTGTCCCGTTTAAGAATATGGTGTCAGACGTTATTTTCTTTCTTTCTTTCTTTCTTTATTTTTCTTTTTTCATGTCCTTTTTGTTACCATTTTTCTTTAAAACGCTGTTAACTTGTTCAGTCCGTAGTATTGTCTCCAGTGTGTCTGTAGTGTGGTATTGGGCTATTTTCTGATAACAGTGAGGTCCTATTTGGCCACAGAAAAAAATTATTTGAAAAATAAGAATATCGTACCAATTAGTATTTGTGGTAGTGGGGGTGAAGTAAATAATTTAATCGTTCCAGAATTAGTATTTGGTACGCGAGAGTATTAAACTGAGTGTAAAAATCTTGATTCGATTCAACATAAAACATTCGGAGGTGCTTTCAGTAGAGTGATAACAAACGAAATAATAATCTAGATAAGTGAGTTCGCTCGACACCGAGCGATCCATTACTATGGCCTCGTGACAGACAAGGCAAACGTTCAACATAAAATTATGCGAACATTCTGAGAAATCAGTAAAAGAAAAAATGGTTTTGACTACTAAGCATTTTACTGTTATAACCATTTTCTAAGCATGGCTTAGATTTAGCACAGGGCTGAAAATATAGCGCACCCTGTGAAAATCGAGCTTATTACTAAGCATTTATTGTTATATATAACAGTTAAGTGTCCCGTTTAAGAATATGGTGTCAGACGTTGTTGAAGTCTCGGTAAAAGCCAGTAATTTGAATCAAGATTCTGTAGGCGTGCATACCTTCATCGTCTTGAAGTTTGTCGTACACGGTCTTTTTACTTCTATTTTTTTACTATTTGGTCGTTTGTCATATAAAATTAGGAAATATCGATTTATAAAAGACAAAAAAATATTTGAAAAATCCTGTAACAAAATCACTCAGTTCGAATTAATCGTTATTTACTTTTTATTTATTTTAAAAACGAAGAAAGATTTTATTCATAACAGGTAAGGCAATTTCTTTTTCAGGTGAAGAAATTTCTTTTCTTGAACATTTGCACATCTTAAATTACTTTATCAAATGGAAATAGTATTCCAAAATATTCAAAATATGAACAAATTAATGCAAATATTGTCTAATAAATATTAATTTCTTCTGTAACCAGGAAACTGCTAAAAAATTGTGTTATGATAGAAATAAAATTTGTCTTCATATATACTTTTCTTTCTTTCTCTTTTTTCTCTTTCTTTCTTTTTTCTTTCTTTTTCTTTCTTTTTTTTCTTTCTTTCTTTTTTCTTTTTTTCTTTCTTTTTCTCTCTCTTTCTCTCTTTCTGTCTTTCTTTCTCTTTCTTTCTTTTTTCTTTTTCTTTCTTTCTTTCTTTCTTTCTTTCTTTCATAGACGCATGTGCATATGTGTTCACTCATATTCATGTATGCCCACCTATTGCCCCGCATTATGAATTTTTAGCTAGTCCTTTCTTTCTTATCTTATTGTTGCTTTTTATCACGACTTTCTGCATCTACTATCTTCGGAACGATAAAGTGGCGTACAATGGAGATATTCTGACCTGAATGGAAAAAAATATAATCAATTTATGTACCTTGTCCGCAGTTTGCTTCGAGCAAAAACGTTGACAATTTAAAAATGAACAAAGCTTGATAGATATCATCAAAAGTATTTCGACTTGGAAGCACAATGTAAATCAGTCGGAATTCTCATTTTCAGTATGGCTGCTTGTTTTTAAGTATACCCATCTGATCAAGCCCATTCACGTTTCTTCAACATCCAGAGTCGATCTGAAACTGTACTAAATTACACTTCAAGTATATACCACACTAAGGATATACGTGGTTTTGAATTCAGAGTTGTGTTCTTCCTGTATTGGTAGCTGGTCAAGGCTAGAGAGACTTGTCTACCGTACTATTTAACTTATAGTTGAAAAAGGATTGGATGGATTCATACGTTTCTCAAACGTATTTGTGAGAATGTGAATACGTGAAAGAGATTTCGACCGTGATTCGAACTCGGCTTGCCGATTTCTCGCTCCATTTAGCCATTCCTTTAACCATTCTTTTAACTATTGTACCACCTGCATCAGGATTACACCACCTGCAGACAGCTTGATAGTGACGGATAAAAATTGTTTTAGACAGAGTGGCACTTTTAGGGTAAAATATACCAATAAAACGAACGGACATTGTACATGGTGTTAGATTTTAATATGCAAATCGATATTTTCATAATAAAGTTAGCATTATCCAACCGATGTTATATATATTGATATATATATATATATATATATATATATATATATATATATGAGACACGGGTTCGAATATCGCCATTGTCGATTTGTCAGGAAGGACACTTGCTGATATTATCGGAATGGTTATCGAGATCGATCCCAGCGTGCGGCACCTTTGGAAAGTGCCTGAAAACCACACCACGGGTTGATCCAAGCCTTGTGAGTGAAATTGAGTCGACGGAACTCTTGAGGGCCGTCGATAGTTGTGCTAGCACAAAGTCAAAAGTCATCGTGGCCGTAGGCTTGAGAGTGCTGACCTTGTTCAAATTGTTGATCACGCTAGATAACACGCTCTCTGTCAGAAAATGTAACTAACGTCTGCTCAGCATAGTTGCAGTATAAACCACAGGTGGGCTCCGTGGGAGTTGGCAAACACAAATGTGCCTGAGCGAGCGTCTGCAGTAGGGATTGGCTATCCGCCTCATTAGACGGGTATCCTCGAATACGAGTGGCCAGCTATTATATGTATGTGTGTGTGTGTGTGTGTGTGTCTGTTTGTGTGTGTGTGATTAATACAATATAATAGTTATCAGCTGATTGATGCTATATTCGGCACTTCGACTCCAGAATTTCGTGCACAAACCTTTTTGTATTCATTCGGTCCACTCGTCAGGAAGTAATATATATATATATATCTGTGTGTGTGTGTGTTCACAGACATATATATAATGGTTCCATTGCTGTGTTAGATGAATCAATCTGGCACGATTTTTCATTGGCAACGTAATGTCATACTGGAAGTGACCACCAGTGGATGGCTGAACCGTAGGCATAAATACCTGGGTGGGCTGCGGCACGTAAGCAAT